TCGGGTTGAGCCAGTGACCTTGTACCAGTCGGTGATGTCGCGGCTACAGGACGGTATTCAGTTATTTTTGATGTTGCAGAGCCCTTTATCTCGGTTCCCTTAAGACATTGGTGTATATGGTACTAAGAAAGATTGCTTATGTTTTCACGTCGTGTAAAGGAAAACCCCAACTTTGCGGACACCCTGTATAACCCTCATATTACACTGATCAACAGCCAAAAAATATCCTAAATAAAATCAACAAAATATTACTATTTTTAATGTGCTAAAACCGGAATGAAACTTATTCTTTCAATATTAGTTCAAGTTTTAGAGATACGGTAATTATATGTCTTCCTGCTGTGACAGTGTTAATATACTGTAATTCACAAGAATGCACGTGCTACATTTTTATATTCGGCAAGGAAAGATGATGTAATCGGCATGATTGTGTTACGTTATACATACGTGTACATTATATTGTTTTATATTAGCAATTTTTCCTCAGTTGGCTGACAGCGTTCATGCAAGATGTCTCGAAAGTGTGTAAACAATCCAGATCAGTTTTGTTACGTGTGTGGTGATGTGACTTTTGCGTCTCAGAGAAGGTCTATTACTCCATTAATAACAAAGGCATATCAGCTTTATTTCGGTTGTAAACTAGGTGATCAAGACAAACAGTGGGCACCCCACATCTGCTGTAATACATGGGCTTCAAGTCTGAGGAGCTGGTTAAATGGCAAAAAACGGTATATGCGCTTTGCTGTCCCAATGGTTTGGAGAGAGCCTACAAATCATATTAATGATTGTTACTTTTGCATGGTACCTTGTGTTGGACAAGCCACAGGTATGTCCAAGAAAAAAAAATCGGTTATTAACTACCCAAACATACCATCTGCGATGAGACCTGTGCCTCACAGTGACGAAAATCCTATTCCAAAACCCCCAGAATAATACACTTGCGAATCAGAAAACGAATCAGATCATGGCGATCGAGTGATTCGTCAGGAAGAAGATATGCCATTAACGTCAAGAGATCCTGATTTTATACCAAGCACGTCATGCCACCAACCTCACAAAATAACACAGTCAGAATTAAATGATCTTGTAAGAGATTCAGAACTTCCACAATGTAAGGCAGAGTTACTTGGATCAAGACTGCAGCAGTGGAACTTGTTAGAAGACAATGTTTCGGTATGTGTTTTTCGTAAACGCCACAAAGACTTAGAACCATTTTTCAATATGGAGAATACCTTGGTTTTCTGCAGTAACATTAACGGCTTACTGGCGGCTTTAAATATAAACTATAACCCAGAAGAATGGAGATTGTTTATAGATAGTTCAACATTGAGTTTAAAGGCAGTGTTATTGCATATTGGAAACATTTTACCATCTCTTCCTGTAGGGTACGCAGTTCACATGAAAGAATCATATGACAATATGAAGTACCTATTGACATTCATAAAATACGATGAGCACCAATGGCATATTTGTGGCGATTTGAAAGTTGTTGCACTTTTACTTGGGCTGCAGCTAGGCTACACAAAGTTATGCTGTTTTTTGTGTGAATGGGACAGTCGGGCAAAGGCACTTCATTACACCAGACAAAACTGGCCTGTTCGTCAATTCCTAGAGCCAGGTCAAAAAAATGTACAGCATATGCCATTAGTAGATTCGAAAAAAATTTTATTACCACCACTGCATATCAAGTTGGGCCTAATGAAAAACTTTGTCAAGGCATTAGATAGAGATGGCTCAGCTTTTCAATACCTGCGTCAGAAATTTTCAAGACTAAGTGAGGCAAAGGTTAAAGAAGGTATTTTTGTTGGGCCACAGATTCGAAATATTTTGACAGATACACAGTTTGAAAACACTTTAACAGGTATTGAAAAAAATGCTTGGAATGATTTCCGTCTGGTGGTCACTAATTTCTTGGGAAATAGAAAAGCTGACAACTATAACACCCTTGTCAAAAATATGCTGTCATCATATCAAAAGATGGGCTGTAATATGTCTCTTAAGATACATTTCCTACACTCACACCTGAACTTTTTTCCTGTCAATTGCGGAGCCGTAAGTGATGAGCACGGCGAACGTTTTCATCAGGATATTTCAACAATGGAAAAAAGGTACCAGGGAAAGTGGAATCCTTCCATGCTTGCAGACTACTGTTGGACTCTTGGTAGAGATGCTCCAGAAATGATCCATAAAAGAACAGCAAAAAGACAGCGCATGTAGTGATTCTTATAAGTATATGAATCTTGTTACTTTTTTTAATATATCCTTAAAAATAAAAAGTTTTTTTCTAAACCGCAACTAATTTTTTTATTTCATTGTCATTTTTGGATTCAGCGCCCCAAAATTAACAAAGAAGTGCACTTTTCCCACAAGATACAATTAAAAAACTAAAATTCGTTGTCCAGTGTTATATGGTCGGTAAATAATGTTCTCAATTATTTATCACAACCAATTTGTCCTAGCATCGTCCCTGCCTCCTTACGCGCGAGGGCCATCTCACAGGGGCCGCGTTAGGGCGGGGGTTTGCGGGGGGGGATTCGACGAGCGTTAGGCGGCGTTGCTGGGGCTCCGCTGCTGCTGCCGCCGTACCGCCGACGCGCAATTCGGCACGCGGGAGGTGGGCGACTGCTGGGTGGATCGGGGAGGGTGTTTTGGCGTTTCCCCCCAGGCGTCGACGAGAATTTGCAGCACGTTTTCCATCCTTTCGCCCCTCGATGCGACATTCCGCCTCTACCTGTTTGCTCACGTTGATTTATTTCGATTAACTTAGAGATAGTGTCTTCACTTCTCGAATGTAGCATTTGAACTATACAGGGTGGCGCATCTAAAACGAAACAGACGCATTTACTGGTAGCTCAGTTTTATTTTGAAAAACGCTCAGACCCATCTATTGTGTTTTCGAGGGGGACACAAGTTTGACAAAAAATCACGTTAACACGTGCAGCCCCCTGGGCGGGGGTGACACCAACCCTAAAATCTTAAATGGAAATGGGGGTCGAGTGATACCTTATTTTAAAGGTCGTTCAATTGCCTTTATAATGATGTAGAAATAAATGAGCTTCAGTTCAATAGTTCTGAAGAGTTATTGATTTTAAGCTTAAAGTAGACTTTAATAGGTACATCAGATTAGTTTTTAGAACAAATTTGACTAAAAGAATTTACTTAATAAGTAAATGCTTTTCTTCACCACGCCCATGGTTTGTTTATCATTTTGTTGTTGAAAATAGCTATTGGAGCGCTTTTTTGTGGCAAAAAAGTTATTTTGTGGCAAAAAAGTTATTTCTTGGAGAAAGATAAGGAAATATCTCGTACTTTATATTTTTCGGAAATAATCAGTGCGCTAGTAGAACAGCAGAAATATTTAATGAGCGACATCAGAACAGTAACGTGAATCGAAAATATGTTCTAGAACTTGTAGCTAAATTTCGAGAATAAAAAACGCAACATTGAAAATCCCATAAGGAACGAAGCAATAGAAGTGGGGGTTTTAGGGCAAGTTTATGTAGATCCTACGTTAAGTACCCGCAAACTGGAGACTGTGTATGGTGTTAGTCGACGTACTGTCCAACAGATTCTAAAGGCCCATATTTTTCATCCGTATAAAATTCACCTGGTGCAAGAACTTAATGAAGACGATTTTGATCGGCGATTACAATTTTGTGAAGATATGACGATTTACTATGCCATTTAAGAAAAAAGAACATTCGTCGGAAAAGCAGGTGTTGAATAGAAAATGTTCATCGTTTATAATTCGTTCACTCACAGTCTCCAATTTGCGGGTACTTAACGTAGGATCTACATAAACTTGCCCTAAAACCCCTACTTCTATTGCTTCGTTCCTTATGGAATTTTTAATGTCGCGTTTTTTATTGGCGACTGACACAATTTCCAGAAATTTAGCTACAAGTTCTAGAACAAATTTTCGATGCACGTTACTGTTCTCATATGGCTCATGAAATATTTATGCTGTTCTGTTAGCGCACTGATTATTTCCGAAAAATATTTCCATAATTTCAACTCTTTCTGCTGTGGAATATACCATGGTTTATTTATGTAATAAAGCGTTACAAGTTATTTTAGCAACAGAGTTTGGTCAAATCAATCGCAAACTATGTACCTACTAAATTCCTATTTAAAATAAGTACGAGATATTTCCTTATCTTTCTTCAAGAAATAACTTTTTGCCACAAAAAAACGCTCCAATAACTATTTTTAACAACAAAATGATTAACAAATCATGGGCGTAGTGAAGAAAAGCAAGTAAATTCTTTTAGTCAAATTTCTTCTGAAAGTAGTACAAACTAATCTGATGTACCTATTGAAGTCTACTTTAAGCTTTAAATCAATTAATCTGCAAAACGAGTGAACTGAAGTACATTAATTTTATATCATTATAAAGGGAATTGAAAGACCTTTCAAATAAGGTATCACTCGACCCCCCTTTCCATTTAAGATTTTAGGGTTGGTGTCACCCCGCCCAGGGGGCTGCAGGTGTTAACGTGATTTTTTAACAAACTTGTGTCCCCCTCGAAAACAAAATCGACGGGTCTGAGCGTTTTTCCAAAAAAAAACTCAGTTGCGAGTAAATGCGTCTGCTTCGTTTTCGATGCGTCACCCTGTATATGTATTACAATAAAGTCAATTGGATTGAATTGAATGCTTACACCGTAATTACTAAGTGGGTCTAACGTCCACGACCTGGCTTGCATTTCTCAGATCGGGTTCAAGGGAGTACCCATGAAGGCAAGAGGCTCTACGAAATTCCAGGGTCCTAGGTCAAAAAAACGCATTCAAAGAGTAGTCAAACATGTGAATTCTAGCATTTTGCCACATATAAATGTCTAAGGAACTCAAAATGCCCTCCACATTCCGATTTGATAATTCGTTTGGCAGATATTTCAGTCAAAATTATTTTTTTTAATCTTCCACTGCATGCCTCCGAATCAAAAAATGCGCAAGCTTAATTTCTTTCCAGTAAGAGATAGATCACCATAATCTCATATATAAGTTTAATTTACCACCCGATCCTTTGAATTTAAACCCCAAAACTAAATTTGACTCTAACGTGAACTAGATAAGCCAAACAATTTCAATAGAATTGTAACCAAAGCTACAGCAATGTGTTTCAACTCAAGTTGAATCCCAAAACTAAATCTGACTGACGTGCCTGTTCTGTTGGAGTATCGGTCCTTCATTCGTGGTATCCTCTTGGTCATCAAGTAATCCCTACAAATTATCATATCAGTGGTATGTTTGCAATCTGTTACGTTAGACTCAACTGGAACACATCTCAAGTTCTTCATCCTTCCAAGTCTGAGGCATAATAGCAAGACTGCGACGGACGAAGTCTGATATACCTCATGTTTGATTCTAGATTGTGTATTTGTTTACTGGTGGTTTGACAATTCCTGAAATCTAATAAACATACGTAGTTGTTTACCTTTTTTGTCACCCAGTATAACTTAGTTTCAAGACTTGCTATGCTTGATGATTTTAAACACCTTCAAAAGTCCAGAAAGCTAAGTTTTTCAGGTGCTTGTTTAGGATTCTACACACCGAGCAGCACCAAGGGTAGTTTAAAGTAGAACTGACCAATGTAGCACCTAGCTAGGCAACATCATATCCTTGATTAGTTTGCATGACTGTATCTAACAATCTCTGAAAATTTATTATATTTCCAATGCTGAAATGAGTAATTTCTTACAACTCTACCACAATTGAATGAAGTCCCCATACGTCATTAAAAGGGAAGTCATTTCTCCACCCCATTACCCAGTTTAATAAATCGTTGCATTTAGTGCAGCGTTGCCGCAGTGCAGCAATGTGAAGGGACATCATGATCTACGGTCTGGATGGCCGATATCGTTATTTTTCAATATCTTCGATATATGATATCCTTATTTTTTATATCAGCGATTTAGAATCGATTTTAGAGTCGATGAGACTTCAGGTATACCAATATCCTGAGCAATATATATATAAGTCGGCGAGTTACTTTTCAGCTCCGTTTCTCGCACCTCTCCTCCATTCCATCTCCACAAACGTCATTTTCCAGACCTCTTATAATTTAAGTATCTCGTCTAATTTGCTCTTACTATTTCTCTGGTAGGCCTACCTCTTAACCTCTCGAAAGGGGGCTTCCAAATTAATATATTTTTTGCCCATGGACTATCAGCCGTATCAGCTTGATCTGTGTCTCTAGATTTGTTCTGTCACTGATGTTTGAACGTCCATTCTTCGTTTTGTTTCATCATTTCTTTAGTATCGAAGCTCCGCAGCTTCTTCGAAAGAAATCCATATCGTTCGCCCTTGAAAAGTGACATTATGTCGATTTTCTTTGACATTATGCTATTTTCTTTGACATTCTGTAGATTTTTCTACAAGATGTTAACTTAGCACTTAGTTGTACGTGTTGCCTAAACGTCAATCTTTGGCTCTGGTGTGATGTAAAATCTGCTTCTGATATGGCATTACTGGAGGTCTAAGCTGTAATTTGTATGTGTTGATGATAATTACATTGGGTTCTTGTCTCAAGTACACTTAATTGAGATTCAAAGCTAGACATTAGTTGTGCATCCACTTTTTCTTATCCATTCTGTAAATTACACATACAAATGTACTGAATTTAAAAATGAGAGAGATAAGAAATAATTATATTCACTGTACACTGTCGAATTACAAGCCATATACATGCTAACAGTAATTACACACAACGCGGGAGCGGTGATGATTTCCAGTAATTCTCCTAGGTTTTTCGTAAGTTATAGTTTTGAACATAACCTCTCTTCGGAAAGCACAACATAAAAATAACCCATCGGGCACAGCCAATAGATATACTCCATTGGAAGCATATTCAGTAATGATTTTCTCACACAGCAAATATTACTGATTTTATACGCATGCAGACAAATACACACAATCACTTCTCAGAAAATAAAACTATAGACCACTAGACTTGACAAAACATATGCAACCAATAATGCGTGTAGATTAGTTGAGTGATTCCTACTTAGATGGACGTTCACAATGATCCTAGTGAGCAAACGTGGAATGACTGTTTGCGCCCTAAAAACTACCTAGTTTGCAAGATGGCATAGGTTTTTTACATGATACCCATGCCGTTTTGTCATTTCTCATATATTCTAAGTTTGTATCTTTATATATTATTAGACCACAATATGAAGTTAAGTTGACTTATAGCATGTATTGCTTTATTAACTCTATATGAGATTTCGTTCTTGTTTGATCCCCCTTTGATATTATGACTCCTAGATATACATGTCTCCTACTAATATTTCATCTATTTCTAAAGATTTTTGATCCGCGTTAATTGCCATATTTTTAGTTTTTGGGTAGTTGATTTTAATCCCTGCTTCACCATATGCCTCAGCTATCTTTTGCATCATGTTTTAATCATCGAATGAGTCCCTGGCACTGATCATCTGTGTATACAGGGACTTTTCATTTATGTTGTGACCCATACCAGCACATTTATCCAGCCATTCCTTCAATGTTTCATTGACACAAAGTTTGCATAAAGTTGGTGCTAAGCAAAAACCTTGTCTGAGACCTTTTGTTGGCTTTATTACCCTAGATAGCTTTCCGTTCACATTCACCCTTGTCTCTACATCTCTAGACACCAATTTATAGCGTGTCATACGCTTCCTCTAATTCAGGGTATCCTGAAAGTTGGGAATTTGCTTTTCAGAGTCAACTACTTTTGCAATACTCAACATAACTTGTTTGAATTGATGTTGCTGTTTCATTAAAATCACGAAATTGTTTACATCTTTCTAAATTTGTAAACATTTGGCGCTGTCTAGGTCTTCAATTATGTTCAACAAGATGGCTTGAGCATGATATAAACAAGAATATGCAGCTTTGGAGACGGAGACGTTCTGAGTACACTCGCGGAGGATCAATAGGATCTTGAAGATGCTCATATCAAATCGATAACAGCGTTATTGCTCTAGAAATGTGCCACGCGACTACTGGATACCGACTCACAAAGTCACAATAGTAGTACATCAACATCATACGTTTTGTCGTGGGAGGGGAGGGGGCAGGGTCGTTTTGGGTCATTTATTGCTTTTTGGTACCTAATGTCTCCGTTATCTTAAAGATTTGGTATATATGCTACAAAAAGTATGCTTAATATTACTTGACCTATACGCTCTGTAAAGGAAAATCCCAACTTTTAGGACCCCTTGTATGAGATGTGTTTCTTGGTTGCGCACGCTCCTTTTCTCTATAGTTTGCTTGATGGTAAATATGTTGTTGACACACGATCATCATCCAATGCATGCTGTTACATGCCCCCCCATATAGTTCCTACATTCATTCTTTGATCACTTTTTGTATATAGATAACAAATAAGCCACCATCAATTCCTTTGATGGATCCTCCAAGTTCACCATACAACTGATGTAAAGGACTTTTGTATGCCTGGAGTATGTTTTGAAAGCTCCTCAGAAACAACTCCAGAACCAGGAGATTTTCTCGAACAGTTCTTTATTTTTTGTTCTGTTATTGCGTGCGCGTTCTTATTGTTATTTGAATCGGTTTCCTCCAATCTACGTTATTGCCTTGTCTCTGTAAGCATATCTTATCTATCTCTTATCATTTGGAAGCAAAGAAAAATACCATGATGAAATCGGTTAAAGCGAACTGCCTAGATCTGGTCGCCGGGAGCAAAGTGCGGAGTGGGGGTAACTGAATCGACTGCCGCACAAGCAGTGAGTAAAAGGAGAAACATCGTCGGACAGGTAGTGAAGTATATGGATGGAATTTATGTTATATGAGGTCAACGAGGCTTGACAAAGGTGCAAACATCTCGTCATCAGTTGTCAGTTGCTCTTAACCAAAATAGACTAAATGTCTGTTATTCTCAATGATATCTGTTTATTGATTTGTGCCAGTCAAGCAAATATATTTCTGTCCGACATCTGCTATAGGTGCGCCATATCGCTTGCAAGCTATGATAATGATACAGTGATATAAGATTTTCGTGAGGCACTTCACATCAGCATTTAGATTTTTTTAAAGTAGCGGTGACATTGTGCAGCGACAGTAGTTGTTGATTGTTCCAGAGATACATCTAACAGAACGTCCAAAAAGGCAAATTTCAACCTTCCGGGAGCAACTGAAAATTACATAATTTTGATACAATACAGAAAAAAAGACGACGATGTTTAGTAGAAAGGTCAATTTCACTATGACTCTATAATGCCACACCACGAACTGCTTTTCAGACATTCCAAAAAAATCTTTCACGGGAAATTCGGCGACATTCTCCATACTCTCCAGACCTAGCACTTGATCATTTTCCGCACATTAGATATACAGATATACGTAGGCAAGAGGTCATAAATGATGATGAACCCTATGTTATTTATTAAAATGCATCCAGGACAGAAAAAAATCTCATTTTGTTTTCATCTGAAACGGTCAGAACTTTCCGGTAGGCCTAATGTCAGACCTCGATACCGAACATTTTTCTCGCAAAATATCCTTTTACGTTGCTTTCCCTACGGCACACTCCATGAAACGTCCAAAATATCGCTTAACCTTCGTTATTGCAATGCTTGCCGAATATCGCATTTAAAGTAGCAAATTTGCAGAAATTCCCACAGTGACGGCAACGTCGCATCCGCAGCTGTCGGTGGTGTACGTAGGTAGATTCGCGAACGTCGGCCACGGACGCGACGACGGCCGTGCCTTGCCCACCCTCTCTGACCCCACCGCTCCCCCGTTCAACCCGCACGTAGCTGCTGTTGGGGGGTGGTTGGGGGATCGCGGACCGCGACCTACAGAGCGCCCCCGCGCGTTTGGCCGCGTCCCCTCTCCCCCCCTAGCGCTGCCCACACCCTACAGCTCAGCCGCCCGCTCTACTGGGTCCATTGCTTCGGGCGACGATATCGCACCAAAGACGGTGGCTACGGAAACTAGACGGCTGTTACAGTGGTTTGGTCTGTGGCAGCGTTGTAAAATTTAGGAACCTGGGCCGCTCGGTAATGGCAGCACTGGGCAGAAAGAGGTGTTACCGATAGTAGCGAAACACTAGGCTGCGCCTGACATACAGTTTGACATCTTAACATTATTCACACCTCATTTTCGCCACGTCAAGGCAAACTTGAGCACCGATCAGCGGATGCCTGTGCCACATAACACCTACTTTATAAGGGAATCTGTAATGCTAAGGTTTGTCACTAAGTTTTTTGCCATCCCTGAGATATACTCAGAACTTTTAATAGAACCTGTACGAACTGTTATAGAACCCTTTGAAATATAGAATACCTAGCACCATCTTTGGACATCTCTCTTTCACTGTTGAGCTAAATTTGAATGAAATATTCGAATTATATACAAGATATTTTAAGTAAAATAAGGCTCAACCCGATTTTATTTTTAAAATGTGTATTTTTTAATACAATACATAAATATAACAGTTATGCAAGTTGTTAGTAGTCTAAAAATAATTGGTCTTACCGATGTACCATATAAATTTACAATTAGCAATTATTCTACTCCCTTCATGC